AACTCTACAGACTGTCGGTTCACACCCCATCACAAGCCAGCAAAACATCCACGAAACAAAGAAAGGTCTGTCACAGCCAAAAAATACACTCCAGACACGCCGCTGGCACTAGAGGCACAGCATGGCCGCGTAGTGACGGTGTCACACTGTAAATCAGAGCGCGATATATATATAAGATATATATATATATATCGTCTCCTGATGAGTCGGTGAAACTCCGACGAAACAGTTTGTCACAGCCCCTCGTTTGTTGTCCTCTTCTCTCTCTCTGCCTACGGTTTACCGGGCAGTTCTGTTTGTGACGATATATATCGTCACAAACAGAACTGCCCGGTGACAAACTATATATATTGTCACACTGTGAATCAGAGCGCGAAGGCAAAAAAAAGCAAAACAAGGAAAGGAAAAGAAGGAAAGAAGGAAAGCCCCACCTGTTCATCACCTCTTACGTACAAGGTCAGCCACGTGGATGACAGGTTGAGCGCTGGCTGCCCCCATCCCCGTGTGTCACAAGGACCTACTTGCACGCAGCCAACAATTGGATTATATTTTGTCACATTGGAAATCGGAGCGCAAAGGCGGAAAAAGACAAAACAAGAAAAAGAAAAAGAAGGAAGGAAAGCCCCACCTGTTCGTCACCTCTTACGTACAAGGCCAGCCACGTGGATGACAGGTTGAGCGCTGGCTGCCCCCATCCCCGTGTGCCCTTTGGCCAGGATTTTTAGGATCAAGGTGAAGCGATTTGGACAAACGAAAATTCAATTGGACAGCCATCAAACCGAATTGGTCAGTTCGATTCTCCTATTTAGTACATAATCAGAACCGATTTGGACAGCCGATACAGGTTGGGAAAAGTGTGATGAGCATTTTGAACATACCAGATTTAGGTTGGGAGAAATATGATGAGCATTTTGGACAAAAGGATTTAACAGTTTGGACACTTGATACAGTGGAGTTGGGCAGATTGATTTAACAAATTATTATTAGAATTGTCAAAACCACATTTAGTCCATTAATCAACCGATTTGAGATTCTGCACAGAGAACAAATTAGTGAAGGGATGGATTTTGCATGTAGTCACATGCGTCTGAATCATGGGCCTGCTGCTGCTCCCGTACAGCAGTCTCTGCAATCGTTTTGCCTTCAATGAAGATATAGACGAGATGATCTTTCGCTTCTGAACATCGTCAATGCGGTTGTACCTGCTTCACGTGCCTCTAGCGGACATAGCCGTTTGCACAAAAGATCACGCTCGTGCAAGATGAGAGAGCCAGGCAAGTGAACACACAAGACACGTGGGTCGATGCTCGGCGGGAGTGAATGCACGTTTATGGATGCACGCAGCACACGTGGGAGTGAATGCACGTGCGTAGTCGTCCCTACCTTCTTCCCCCGAATACAACGTACGGTCGTTATAGCTGTATTTGGGGTACTCACACGGGCACCTATCTTCCCAAATCCCAGAAAAAAGGGGAAAAGGCCGGTCACACGAATCTACCCAATTGGCAAATGTACTATTCCTGTGCCCATTTGTCAGCGGCCTGGGAAGCCGCGGGGCAAGGGATTTTGCGGTCACCTCCAGAGGCGACCGCAAATGCCCTTTTTCTTTTCTTCCCATTTCCTTCAGAAATTGGCAAACATTCGTTCAACCACTAGTACCTGTGTCACTGTTGGGAAATTAGGGGAAACTGGCAGTTTTCCCATTTTCCCCCCAGACTTCGGACGTCAGGTAGGTTCGGCAAATGCCAAAGTTTCCCAAAAAAAAAAAAAAAAAAAAAGGGGGAAAGGCGGGTGTTGGTCCATTTGCAGTCCAACGGAGGCAGGCCGGAAGTGGAAACGGTACCGGCAGCAGCGTGGCGGGCCACCGTCGGACCARCGGTCRTCCRTGGCTGGTTTTCGSAGGCAGCGACCGYGCWGACGGSCGACCGGTACCCGTGCAAATCCGACGTGCGGCCTGAAGCAAACTTCCGGCCGCTGCGACGACGGTGAGCGCCGCCGCCATCGCCCTTAGGCCTCTCTCTCTCTCTCTCTCTCTCTCTCTC